AAACAAAGATAATATAATTATATATATATATATAATTATATCTTTGTTTCTATTATGTATGTATTTAACTCTTATTAATAATTTTTATATGTTTTATATTTTAAAGAATCGATTCTTATTTGTCTGTTTTATCGTTATGCTGTTACTGAATTTTAAGAAATCCTTGATTGTTTATATTAACTTTTAGAATCTTTAGAATCTTTAGAAAAAGATAAATAAGTAAAACTGAAATTAATCTTATATTAGTGGAATCGAGACTAAGCGGTAAAAATAGAAAAAAGAAAACGACAGAAGGAGGAGAAAAAAAGAAAAGAAAGAGATGATAAGAAAAATTGATAAAAAAGCAGATAAAAAATATTTACCTGACATCTCCTCATCGTTGTCATGTATTCTGGGGATTTCCCAGCAGTTTCTGTGATAAAAAGTATTAGACGGCGCGGAGAAAAATGCACGAGGTCCGCGGGGGGAAAACGAAGAACTTTCTTCAGGACTGCATGATATATGACTGTCACCGATCGTCGCGATTTATAAAACGTCGCGCAAATCGCGAAATTTCTGCCCGATTCTTCAGACAAAAGACGAAAGCGATGAAGAAAGAGAAAGAAGGGGCTCTGTTCGGAGGCTCCCTGGCTCCTACCGCACCTGTTGACTCCCGGAATATCTTCACAAGACTGACGGAGCCGCTCAGCCAGCAGCTCCTCGTGCGCCCGATCAACGTATGAGCGAAACTTCTCTCCGACCTACTTCTCGCGCCTGCCTTCGTCTTCTTCCGTAGCGGCGTAAGACGTCCGTGCTTAACCCTTCCGGGGTGGAGAGGGGAGGCTTCTCCTATCAACCGATATCGATAAGATTTAAGAGAGACATCTGAGACGATTACAATTATTGATAATATTAAGTCATCATTAATATATTAATTAGTCCGTCATCCGACATTAGTCCGACAAATAATCGGAGTTAATCTTTCCGAAAGTGAAATAATACTTTTCTTATTTTTATTATTTTATATATTTATATATATTTTTTCAATTTATTTACAAAAATAAAGGAGACACACGCTGAAAATGTGTTTGTACACATTTGAAAATGTGTTTGTGTTTTTAAGTAGTAAGTGTTAAATGGAAAAGAAAAGTATACTTGCATATCTAACAAAAACCAGCCTTCTTGTCAGAGAGTTCTTTTTCAGAGTTCTTTTAATAGTTCGAGACATCTGTCTTTTACTTTTTTGTGTTTTACAAATATGAAAAAGAGGACCAGTATTCAATTTGCAATTTCTATGCATATTTGAACTTAAGATTAAATATCAGATATTTTTTAGCAAAAAAAATGTATTATATTGTGTAAATAACTTTTAGGAGAACATTATTTATATGAGTTACCGAAAATATTTTATTAATTGAGAAAGATGGAAAGAAAAAGGAAAAGAAAGAAGGAAATAAATATAGAAATCCGTGTTATTAATCAGGAAACAAAAATAAATTTTTGCGAATTCCTTTGCAAATTGAAATAACTTTTATTTATGCCATGACGAAATTAATTTGCAGCAATAATGCGTTACTTCCGTTTGTTCCAATTATTGGACAATTGCCAAGAAAAATTTGCACATTCAGGACGACGATTGAATCGCGTCATTACATCTTTATCTCCGGTTTCCTCTTAATACTTTCTCAGTATTTATATTTCGCTCTTTATTTTTCAATTTTGCACCGCTTTCATTTTATTTTGGACAGTTTTCAAAATACGAGATCTCATAGACCAATGTTCGTGAATTATAGGACACAATTTCAGATTTATAGATTCTTTAATTTTAGATTTGCAGATTCTTATTTTGTATTTTATAAAATTATTTTGTTTTCTTAAATTATAAACAATATAATAATAAAATTAAACATAAATAATATTTGTTTAATTCTCAAAAGTATGCATAAAATAAAAGCACGTTTTCGAGCAGAGATTGGCTATCTGTGAAGAGATTCGTTTCTCTAAATTAATTATTCACAATGAGTCTCATTCCAAATATTATATATCTCATTAATTGATTTGTTTCGTTTTACTTGATTCCAAGCGAAATTCCAAGCGATTGTTCTGTCCTATCTAATGCATTTAGTAATTTTTGTTAAATTTTTGTTAAATTAAAAATAAATATTTATATTATTATCGCGTAATAAATTTAAAAAATTTTCTTCAATATTACAGATTATTAAGTACATTACTGCAAAAATTTCAAAAATATTGCATTATTGCATTATTTTCTCTTACCTTTTTATTAAATTAAATAAATCATGTCAGATATAATTGTTCTTTTCCGTCACGTTTGAAATGACTCATCAGAAAAGTCGCAGTAGTTATTGCGTTTTCCTACACGTACCATTGTTTCGCCATAGCGCATCTCTCTTTCTCGTTCAAACGAGTTTTAATTATCGGGTACAGATCTTTATCAACGGGATTCCGGAGACGCGAGAACTTTGTTGACGGTAGCCGGTTTAATTTTCAAGTTCACGAACGGGGAGGCCGGATCGGGACGAACCGGAAGAGACGTTCTTCGTGAGAGACCGCCAGCGAGTTCAGAGACCCGCTAGTGAAAGTCGATCGGTTAAATGACGACGATGCACACCTGTGTAACGTCCTATTCTGGCCACGGATCACAAGTACCCCTCCAATGAAATCTCTTTGATCTCTTTTGCTTTAAATCGATAATCAGTTCCTGCTATTCCGCAACGCTTGAAGCATTTTCGGAATAGTTCGAATATTATCAAGGTAGATTAATAGTATTAATGATTTTTTTTTTTTTATAGTCATCACGTACTGTTTCTGTTATTTTTTTCAAACATTACTTTTTTCTAATAAATTATCTAATACATATAGTTTTGATAATTACAAACGAATTATATTAGCGTGTAACAGAACGGCAAAGTTAAATTTTTAAATAATTTACATTCATTGAATAAATGTTATATTATTATAGATATGATAGAATATTTAAAATAGATATTGTGCGAAGTAATTTTGAAGTGAAAAATATAAATATACAATTATTTCAAAGAATAGCTATTCTCACTTTTTTAAAGATTCTAGGCAAGGAAGAACAAAAAAATATTTTGTCAACTATTGGCATATATTTAATTATTTTACATTAAATAATACAAAAAAATATTTTATTTTCAATTAAGTATAATATTTTAAATATATTATATTTTTGATGATATATAATCGATTAAAAAATTTTATTATGCTATTTATACTATTTTTATTTACAGTTATGCTATTTTATTGTAATATTATATACAATTACATTATTTTATTATAATACTTAATTTGAATAATTTGAATATTTAATTAGTTTCGTATTTTTAAATTTCATTAAAGTAATAAATGAACAAGAAATGAACAAAAATAAGAAAAAGACTAAAAATGGAAAAAACAACGTAAATAGAAATATAATTTAAAAAATACAAAAATAAAAAATGAAAGAAACAAAAAATTAAGAACGGAAAAAATGATGATAATTATTTGCTTGATGAATGAATTTATTGATAAAATAAATTTTACTTTATATTAAGATTTTAAGATGCAAATATATATATTTCTGGATTTAGTATTAATAGGAACTTCAAAATCGTAAAAATTAACAAATTTTTCAAAAGATTCAAATTTTAAATTTTCTTACGATGGTTTGAATACTGCCGTTTGAGTAATATGGATCAGTAGGTAAGTGTGGCCCATAGTAACGCATAAACGCGAGAGGAGAAAGAGAGAAATTGCAGTTCTCTTGAATGGAGTACGTGACTAATACAGCATATTATCGCAGTTCGTATTTATCGCAGGTGAGCAAATTGCTCAGGCATTAAATCCATCTCTATCGTCCCATAGTCGTCATGCAATTTTTTGCTTTATTTTACTCTGGAAATTATAATCACAGACATAATTTGCTTCAGTATGCATTAACGTCGTTTCTTTAACATATAGTCTCTAAAACACATTTAAATGAACAAGTATGGAAATAGATATGTTCATCAAAGATGAAAGTCAAAAAAGAAAATTAATAATTTTTAAAAAATAATTAACGCGCATTTACCAGTAAACAACTCTTGTCAAATAATAAATGACATGATTTATATGTTTGTTTCAATGTTATTATTTTATCGCCAGATTACTCGACAGGTGGAAAGTTCATCTTAATGTAAGCGAAGAGAGAAGCCTCGGTCGTGATTCATGTAGAGATCATGTAACAAATTTCTCTTTTCAGCTCCGAAGGGTCAACATCTGACTTTCGGCATGTCTCTTATGAAAATCTAATATAAGCATTTTTTAAAGTACGAAATACGTCTGCCGTTAATTCTTTTCGCAAAACAAAATGATTCCGGTACGTTAAAATTCGTCTTCATTCGTTGACTTGTAAATTAGATGTGCCACTTTCGTTATATTTTAAACGTCCATTGCCGGCATCGCGCTAACTAACTTTTTTTAGGTTTAATTTTACACTCCATAAATGCTTTGTAAAACTATTATCTTTGTAAAACTATTATCGAGATAGCTCTACAGTAGTAGATAACAATTTAATGAGATAGAAAGCTAAGTTAGTATATTCATGTTAAATATAATTGTCTATTTGTACATGTGTGCAGTATTTTTTAATGTACGTCTATAATTTTTATATTATTGGGTTGTCCGGAAAGTTCGTGTCGCAAAAAATTTAAATTTAATAAATGTATAAATTTAAATCTTCTGCATTTCAATTTTTTTTCAAAATCGGCACGAACTTTCCGGACAACCCAATATTTAAAATGATAGTTGTATTATACAGAGATAATAATAATAATAATAATAATAATATTTTTTTTTTATGTTTTTATTTGAGCCATTATTAATTATTTATAATAGAGTAAATAAAAAAATAAAATTTATAAAATAATTGAAAATGAATAAAAGCATTATTGTTAAAATGTATTTGCTTCAAAAAAAAAAGTTATGAAATTTAACGTAATAAAGTTAATAAATTATTTGGCAGGTTTACAGCTCATTATTAGTGGCAACCTCATTAGAAAATGCTTGAATATCTAAAAATTTGTATATGGTCTCTGTAAATTGTATTTCTTGTCTTTAACGTATCAATGCATCGATGTCCTCGGAACATCCAACATCGCGAACAAAAAAATGAATGTAAATGGATTTATAGATATACGACCTTAGCAATAAAAAAAACGTGAGACTCTTCTTAAGAATCTTGAATTTTGAAATGATACAAGTATTCTGAAGAAGTCGCGAAACATCTTTTCGGAATTCATTTCTTTGCGATCAGATCGCCGATCAGATCACACTAATCGTACGAATGTTTCCTTAATTTCCACCTTGTTCTCGACTTTCAAAGAGCTCCTGCGTCCTCGAGATATCACATTGCGCTCGCAATCAGCGAGATCATTCGATATTGCGATCACGTTGTACATCGTATGTATCCCACGCAAATCACATGGTGTACAAAGGCCTCCACGATTTTCCAATATCGTACACTCGTTTTCCTTGACATATCTTGAAGATGAGCCCACACATCGTAGACGTCCTACGTACACTTATGTATTGCGACAAAAATTTTTCAGCACAATTATAATATAATCAATATAAAATGACAAAATCAATTACAATTATTAAATAAATATTATATA